ACAGAGGATGTGGAAAAAGTTAATGTACTCAATGCTTTTTTTGCCTCTGTCTTCACGAACAAGGTCAGCTCCCAGACTGCTGCGCTAGGCGTCACAGCATGGGGAGTAGGTGGCTAGCCCTCTGTGGAGAAAGAGGTGGTTAGGGACTGTTTAGAAAAGCTGGACGTGCACAAGTCCATGGGGCCGGACACGTTGCATCCGAGAGTGCTAAAAGAATTGGCAGCTGTGATTGCAGAGCCATTGGCCATTATCTTTGAAAACGCGTGGCGAACGGGGGAAGTCCCGGGATGACTGGAAAAAGGCTAATGTAGTGCCAATCTTTAAAAAAGGGAAGAAGGAGGATCCTGGGAACTACAGGCCAGTCAGCCTCACCTCAGTCCTCGGAAAAATCATGGAGCAGGTCCTCAAGGAATCAATCCTGAAGCACTTAGAGGAGAGGAAAGTGATCAGGAACAGTCAGCATGGATTCACCAAGGGAAGGTCATGCCTGACTAATCTAATTGCCTTCTATGATGAGATTACTGGCTCTGTGGATGAAGGGAAAGCAGTGGATGTATTGTTTCTTGACTTTAGCAAAGCTTTTGACACGGTCTCCCACAGTATTCTTGTCAGCAAGTTAAAGAAGTATGGGCTGGATGAATGCACTATAAGGTGGGTAGAAAGTTGGCTAGATTGTCGGGCTCAATGGGTAGTGATCAATGGCTCCATGTCTAGTTGGCAGCCGGTATCAAGTGGAGTGCCCCAAGGGTCGGTCCTCGGGCCGGTTTTGTTCAAGATCTTCATAAATGATCTGGAGGATGGTGTGGATTGCACTCTCAGCAAATTTGCGGATGATACTAAACTAGGAGGAGTGGTAGATACGCTGGAGGGCAGGGATAGGATACAGAGGGACCTAGACAAATTGGAGGATTGGGCCAAAAGAAATCTGATGAGGTTCAACAAGGATAAGTGCAGGGTCCTGCACTTAGGACGGAAGAACCCAATGCACCGCTACAGACTAGGGACCGAATGGCTAGGCAGCAATTCTGCGGAAAAGGACCTAGGGGTGACAGTGGGCGAGAAGCTGGATATGAGTCAACACTGTGCCCTTGTGGCCAAGAAGGCCCATGGCATTTTGGGATGTATAATTAGGGGCATAGCCAGCAGATGGAGGGACGTGATCGTTCCCCTCTATTTGACATTAGTGAGGCCTCATCTGGAGTACTTTGTCCAGTTTTGGGCCCCACACTACAAGCAGGATGTGGATAAATTGGAGAGAGTCCAGCGAAGGGCAACAAAAATGATTAGGGGTCTGGAACACATGAGTTATGAGGAGAGGCTGAGGGAACTGGGATTGTTTAGTCTGCAGAAGAGAAGAATGAGGGGGGATTTGATAGCTGCTTTCAACTACCTGAGAGGTGGTTCCAGAGAGGATGGTTCTAGACTATTCTCAGTGGTAGAAGAGGACAGGACAAGGAGTAATGGTCTCAAGTTGCAGTGGGGGAGGTTTAGGTTGGATATTAGGAAAAACTTTTTCACTAGGAGGGTGGTGAAACACTGGAATGCGTTACCTAGGGAGGTGGTAGAATCTCCTTCTTTAGAAGTTTTTAAGGTCAGGCTTGACAAAGCCCTGGCTGGGATGTTTTAATTGGGGATGGGTCCTGCTTTTGAGCAGGGGGTTGGACTAGATGACCTCCTAAGGTCCCTTCCAACCCTGATATTCTATTATTCTATGATTTAGGCAGCTAAATAAGTGTCTGAATTTCAGACATGCTGATCACTCAGCAGTTCCTAGTAAAATCAGTGTCAATGTAAATATTGGCAACTTTAAAGCCTCCAATTATTAGCTGGAAGGCTAACAACTCATGCAGTCCAAAAGTCCTTTCACTGGGCAAATGGCTTCGCAACACTTTGAAAGTGATAGCAGTGGAGACGATAACACAACTCTAAGGGGTTTCTTTGCAGAAATGTCTAAATGGATGAGCCCCAAGTTACACATGCTCTTAGATGTGTGAGTAACCCCACTGAGTTCTACAAGATGACTTGTGTGTAGGTGTTTCCAAGATTGGGGTCCATGGTTACCATTCATCAGCTTCATGGGAGGGGAGCAGTCAGATCAAGAAACCCATAAACTTTATAAACTTTTCCTCATATTAACATAAAACAAAGGGGGAAACTTACATCACTGCTGACTTCTGACACTTCTGTTTCATGCGATTGTAACAAATATTGTAACCTCTCGTATCCTGAGAATTGTGTAAATTCAGGTAGGGCTGTGAGAGTTAAGTTGCATTTGTTTGTCATTTGAGGACTGGTTGTCTGCAGCTATAATAAAAAATGCAAATAGGCTCTTATCTTTTAAGAGTGGCTCACAGGTTACCTGCAAAGGTCAATTCATTCTTGAACACACAAACACACACACACACACACACACTCTATTTGACAAATACATAAGTTAATTTAGTTTCCTGTTGTTGTTGCTCTTCTCCGTTCCCAGCAATCTATACAAACACACAGAATCCCAGCCTGCCAGGAGTTCAGAGAAGAGCTCTAAACGTCAACTAGAGAAGGAAAAGCAGGATGCACCCTCATGCAATTACCTCACACAATAGCCTTGCAAGAAGCATTTGTCCAATAGGCTTCCAGAGGCAGGCTAGACCAGAGGAGGAGTTTACACTCCAAAGAATGAGAAAGGCCTCCTCTGCAGTTTTGCTGAGCTCCTCGCCATGGATTGAAAATGACTTTCAGTTAAGTTTATTGAAATTTAAACAATAGTGGAAAAACTACCCTTACAAAACAAACTCTCAGCACTCTGACTCATAATCCTGCTACAACAGCATCAGAACGATTACCTCAAATCTTTCAGGTATAACCCAGTCATGAAATCTGTGGAAAGGGACTGCCATCAGCTTTCTCCTCTTAACAGAGACCCTGGAATGCTTACAAGCAGAAGGGCGCAAGAATTGCTTTGTAATGTGAAAAGTACATTTTCTTCACTTCTTGTGGTCTCAAAACTGACTGAACTTTTTGCTCAAACTACCCTAAAAAAGTCATATGTGGGAAGAGACCTGGCTTGGGAAAATTTCACTTTGAAAGGGGAAGTCTGAGAAAGTAACAAGCAACTGAAAAATGGCCTGTAGAAGGATGCACTCGCCTCTGGGGTGCCCCCTCCTGGCCAGGCGCAGAGTAGCAGCTCTCTGTCTTGCACTCCTTGCCGACGGTCATTCTGGTCTCACGGTGGTCAGCCTCTTCTCACAACATGACTTTCCAGCCCGGCCACAATTTATTCCCACTGCTTTTGGGATAACAGAGTCCAAATAATAATTCCAAGCCCTTGTCAGATCTCCGGCTCATGACTCTGGGCCTAGTGATCCTCACACCCTTCTATAAGGTATGCTCCACCTAGCTGCCTCCTTCCTACCATAGTCTTTCTCCTTAGTGCCTTCCTGCGTTCTTGTAATGAGCAACACTGCCCAGGGCTTCTCACTGGAGGTCGGATTCCTGCCCTGGTCTGTGTTCACATCCCACCATGTCCCTCACGTCAGAGCTCCCTGCACTGTTCCCAACCACCCTACTCCTGCTCTCTGGTTCAGTCTCTTGAGCTGGTTCTTCCCTCGTTATCTCAGGGACCCACATGAGTCTTCTACCCTGCAGGGTTCCCTAGCTCTGCCCAGCCACATCACAAACTTCTCTGACAGCTCCTGCTGCTCCGCTGTCTCTTTGCCTCTACCACCAAGAGAGTTGCTGCTGAGTTCTTCCCTCGCTGCAGCTCCTTTCCACTCAGCCTTCTTCTCCCACTACAAACCACTCAGATACAAACCACTCTGCTCCTCCCCACAGCTGGGATTCATCTTTAATTAGGACTGGCCACCCTCCAGCTGCAGCCAGGTGCATTAACTGAGCTCCCTAGCTCTAGTTAGCCCCTTTAATGTCAGTGTGGGGTAAATACCCCACCACAAGGCTCTTTTAATATAATGCTAGCTGTCACCACATGATTCAGCTACCCAATAATGCATTGGGACCATGTGTGGAGTAAAGTTCTACCTTACAACTGATCCCCTTAGAAATAAGCCTTACACCCAGCTTGTGTGGTAGCCTTATTCCCATTTTACAGATGGGCAAACAAAGACATGGAGCGGTTACATGGCAGAGCCTGAAACAGAAGAAGAGTCCATTTTCCTGTTTCTGTTTTTCACTAAATAGAGCTGTGTAAAAGTGTGGCTACTCACCTCCCACAAGCACTTCCTGCTGGCTGGGAATGGGCCTACACTCTCTGCTTTTGCGGTGCTTTCTGCTGGTAGTTTCTCTTTTCAGATGGGTTTTCAGTGACTCAGCCCTGCAGCTGAGTCACACACTGTCTGTATGTGAAATGGACGGAAAACAACCCCCTACCGGAGTAACACAAACAGTTGGCCCCTCCTTGAGGTTCTCAGTCCTGTCTCTGGGCTTGTGTAAGCACCCCCCTTCTTGGTTTCCAAACAAAACTTTTTGCTTCCTTGGCCACTCTGTCTGTGACCAGTGGGGGGACCCAGGCCTGCCCACCAGTCCGGGTCTCAACCCAGGGACCCTACGACTAGCAGCCAACTGTCGCTTCCATCACTAGCGTCTATTGTTGCATTCCCTGGGCTGCTTCCCACTCTGTCCAGTCAGTTTCTGGGGTCCTCAGCCTGTTCCCGTGTAAGCAGGGTCTCTTCCAGGCCTCCTTGCCTGGAGAGTCTGTAATAGTCTCTGCCCTGTTCTCTCAGGGTTCTTTCTCACAAAGCGGCGTGTGGTAGGACCACAGGGCCTTCCGGAGGTCCTAAAAGGGCCTGGTACACCCCATCACAAGCCAATATAAATTTGTGATAATGAAACAGTTTTCCCTTACAATAGTTTACGGCTGTCCAAATGGAGATTTATATAGATGGCAAAATCACTTTGTGAAATACAGATCCTGCAAAGATTTCTAAGCGCACTGTTCAGTCAGTGAAAATAAGATAAAGGTCTCTAAAATATTTTGATCACTTCCTCCTGTTTTTCAGGTCCGTGTTTTCCTGCTGAATTGGTGTGCTTGGTTTTTAAGGATGAAAAAGCCTGGAGAGAACATAAGGCCCCTCTCTTGCAAATACAACTATCCCAAGCACCGTTCAAGCATCAGTAGCGTTGAAATGAATGTGTTACCTGGATACCAATCTAGCAACGGGAATGTGATCTATAGCTACCATGCCATGGAAAACCCATGCTGCCCACAAAACAGTGACTCAGGTAGTAAGTGTGGAAAGGTCACTTGTGCCTCTACGGAAGATATTGAGCTAGTTCAAAAGAAAGCTTTAATGGATACTATCCCAGTGATTGTCAAAATCCTGGAAGAAGTTCAGTTCATTGCAATGCGCTTCAGAAAACAAGATGAGGGTGAAGAAGTTTGTAGTGAGTGGAAGTTTGCAGCAGCTGTCATAGACCGATTATGCCTGGTTGCATTTTCACTCTTTGCAATCATCTGTACGTTTACAATACTGATGTCTGCTCCAAATTTTATAGAAGCTGTTTCAAAGGATTTTGCATAAGGCTCTCAAAGAGGAGCACTCAGTACGAAAAATGTCATTTCAAAAGAAAAAATGTCGCCATTAACTTTGCTAAATAACGTAATTTAAATCTTACATAGAAGATGAAGGAGCTGAAATTAGTTTTGAGAGCTGATTATCTCCAGTGTTAGTGATTGTAATGACTGAATAATATAAATACTGGACCCTGTTATTTATTTCTTAGATTGTGTCTGCCTGTAATGATGTTATGATCTGTGACAAGTGGTAGGCAAGAATTCAAATCTTTGTTACAAGTAAGCACTAGTGTATGTGTACTACTAAGAAACCATCAGTGAACAGTTAGCTATTGTTTAATAAGTAAAAGCTAGATTGATAAGTCATTCTGACTAACATGTTCTTTAGTATATTGTCATTTTCAATATCTTTATCTTTCAGTATCTTCGATTAGTATGGCTGTGACATCCATTTCTCATGTTTGACAACGTATCACTCTGCACTGTTTATACTGCATTTAGCTAAACAAACTACTGGTGTTCGCTTGTACTATTGCTGTGATTATCTGAAACATTTTTCCAATCAAGATGTTAACAGAATGTATTTTTGCTAAAACTTTACAGAAATATTTTTTTTAAATGGAGGAAATGTTGGTTGTTGAAAGGGAACAGAAAACTCAGTCAGCATGCAGAGAACTGTACAGATTCTCAGTGACACTGTTGTGTTGCTACTGTCGTCCATGTGCTTAATTTGAATACATCTTGAATCACAACTGCCAATCTAATACCTGCTAATCCTAAATTTTTTGGGAGGATTCCTGGCCCCATCAAAGTCAATGGGAGTTTTGCCAGCGACTTCAATGGGGCCAGGATTTCGACGTTAGATGTCTCGGTCTAGTCTTCTTTGTTGGGCTCTGTTGGTGTGGTCCACTTTCAAACTTGGCCAATGTGGTCTTGTTAAAGAAATTATGTTGATTAAAGACAACTTATTTTTGTTTAGCTAAAGTTTACCATGGAAGACTTGTCTTCACTTGTAACCATGTTGCTGCTGCTAACTACTGTAATGCTTAAATATCAATAAACAATAACTCTTATGTCACTCAGTTGGAAGATGATGGTAAAAAAGCCTCCTTATCATAGGTGTCTTCTGTCCACTGTAAAATGAACCCCTCATCAGAATACTTGCCCATCTCTTCTGCTGTGATTTTAATCTGCCAGCAGATTATAACTGGCCATCTGGGCTGACAGGGGGCCCCTATCCCTAAAGTGTTTACCAGAAGATGTGGTCTTCACAACATGAGTAAAACTTCTACTCTCTGGTGTTACAAACTCTTTGTATGTCTGCGAGGAACCTAGCACATTCTTGGGTATTTGATCAATGATAACACATTGCCTTCTCTGACTGATTTCTAACCTGTTTTTCTCAAAAGAGGTTTTAGGGGAGTTGACAAGAGTTGTTTCCCACAATGGTGAGCCAGACCTTTCCCATAATTGCTGCTGGAGAGCAATAGGGAGATCTTGGGCCCATTACTGAAGAAGAACTTCAGATACTTCCAATCAAACAGGTAGTGGTGAGGCTGCTTGCCAAAGGAACCATCTTTTGACCTTAAAGCTTTACTTATTCCCATTCAGTATATAACCAATTGTTTTTGGAGAAGATAACTGGTAAAGCTGAAGCAGTTCCAGTGGTTTCTGTATATTTCAGTGTCCTTGATCTCTAGTGGGCTGCTTTTGGGCATGTTTTTAGTAGAGAAAGGTATTACTATCTGTCACGGGTTGCCCCCCTTTAAGATGCCACCTGATGTGCTGGGATACCACTGAGCCCAACTGTTCTGCCATCTTGGGCACCCTTTTCACCTGTCTTTTTGAGCCAGGCTATTAATCCTCCGTCGGCACACACACAGGCAGAGCCACACCCAACTGCAGAATGACACAGACACTGAAATCAGCTCTGGGAAAACTCAGCTTAAGGGACTTGCCCCAGCACTCATGTGTCCTCCTCCCTTGGAGTGCAGATCCAAAGGTACATTATGAAATCTGCCTCCTCCCTCAGTGTGAAGAAACGTATGGACAGCCTCTTCACCATCCCCAATTACGAATTGTACAAATAGGATTATATTATAAATGAGACATATATTTATTAACTACAAAAGGTGAATTTTAAGTGGTTAAAGAGAGAGCAAACAGAACAAAGCAGATTACTAAGCAAATAAAACAAAATACGCAAACTAAGCTTGTTTCACTAAAGAAGTTGGTTACAAATAGTAATTTCTCATGCTAGATATTGTTAAAGGCAGATTGCAGAAAGTCTTGAAAGGCACCTACACTGGTCTGCAGCTTGAGACCTCAGATATTATTACTCACAAGCTAGATGCCCTTCCAGCTTGGGCTCAACCCTTCTCCCCCCAGTTCAGTTCTTGCTTCCAGGTGTTTTTCAGTGTCTCTTTGGGTGGGGAGGCAGAGGAGAATCATGATGATGTCACTCCCCTGCCTTATATAGCTCTTATGTAAGGCGGGAACCCTTTGTCTGGCATTCCAAAAGGGGAAGAAGGATATCCAGTACCAGGTGACTTGGACCCATATCTCTTGCATGGCTGTGGCAGTCATTGCTTGTAAGCTGTCTTGAGTATCCACAGGAAGACTAAGCTCTTTTACAGTCCATTGTCTTAGCTAATGGGCCATTAGCACTGTCTGGCTTTCCCGTGGTTGTACCTGAAGGGTTAGTTGTAGGTGACACCCAAAGTAACCCATTTGAAATACAGATACATGGTCAATATTCCTAACTTCAGATATAGAAATGATACAGGCATACAAATTGGATAATCACATTCAGTAAATCATAACCTTTCCAATGATATCTTACATGAGCCATCTTGCATAAAGTACATCTCAATTATGTCATATCCATATCATAAGCATATTTTCATAAAGAATATGGAGTGTAATGTCACACTAGCTATTGCTGATGGTTTGCTTTTGAGAATGGACATGGGTAAAAGGGTCCATGCTGATCTGACCACAAACCTTTGCTGAGTACCTTTTAAATCTTGCAGGAGTTAACAGGAAGGCCTTTTGTGGATTCTCTCCTTATTCTTTGAGAGGTCCTAAATGGTGGCAGAGAGCATTCACTCATCCTCTGTGCAGGCCTTTATATGTGAGATATGACAAAGTTGTCACCTCTCCTCTTGTGTGCCTATGTATCGCAGATAGGGCAACAAGAAGTTTTTCCCTGCAGTACCATAAATGTGAGGATGACACTCAGATCTATATCTTATCATTGTTATCCCATATATTATGGTGTCTGAGCTCCTAGTATGGAAAGAGGCAGGCAAGCGGATGGGACTAAACTGGCTTAAGTTCCTCCTAGATAAATGGACATAAAACTGAAATATCTAAAAGAACAGCTTGGAGTCATTAGTGAACCTTTCGCTGCAGGTGTATATTCAACCTCACCCATAGTTTTTGGGTCATAGGGACTCTTTGCTCCCCTGGATTTGCATGTGACTATAGTATGTAGTGCCTTTTAACATCTATGATTGGCTAGGAAGGTTACCTCTCCCCTAGGATACACACTGTTCCATACCTTTGTACCCTCAAGGCTAGATCATTATAGCCATGTGCTCCACCTGGGACTATGCTGGAGAAGCACCCAGAAGTGGCTGCTAGTGCTGATGACAGTGGTTTGACTTGTGTAAGAAGATCTTCTATCTGCTATATCAGCAGTGCTCCATGATCTGGACTAGTTGCACTTCTAGGTGTAGTTCAAGGTGTTGATCACGACCTATACTATATAAAGCTCTAAGAGATTCTACTGTTCCATTGTACGCTCCAGAGCTGAATTTTCTGAACATTCCTGAGCCAGCAGCATGAAGTTCTCAGTGCCCTTTGCTACAGCTCCTTCGGAGCTTGAGCTTGGTGAGCTGCAGGCCACAATGCAAGAGCTGTTTGTCTTGTACAAGTCTTTGGCTAATTTGCAGAAATAAAGTGGAACGGGGCTTGGTGTTAGTGACCAGTGGGCCCTGCTACTGAGACTAAGTTGAAAGGCTTATAGTTTATAATCGTAATGGATTCTTTTAATTCTTGTGAGTTACCCAGTTGCTTCAGTGATGGAGACGGAGTATTTCTAAAATATTAGATACCCATTTCTTTCTGCAGCTTTTATAGCTAAAATATAGCAGGCAGGACAGTGAATGACCTTTAGAATCAGTCACTCAAGGACTCTTAATATTTTTGCTTAAAGCCTTTTGTCATCATAAGCAATCTCCAGAGACAGAAAACAAGGCATAAAAGCTGAAAGTAAAGCACAGCAGTCATAGTAACTTAGCATCCCAATGCAAAGCATGTTTCTTTACATGAAACATGCAGATACTGTGGAAGAGTATTTTTAACTGGAGCACTGGTGCATAAATCTTAGGAGCAGTAAGAGGATAAGAACTAGCCTAAAAATAACAATGGAAAATGAATATTGGGCAACATTTTATTTTATAAAATCTAATACAAATGAAAAAGTAAATTATAAGTTAGTAGTCCGTATTATTATACTGTCAGGAGTCTAGGATTGTGATAATGCTAAAACCATTCTGCTGGTATACATCGTGAATGTGATTTACACATACTCCTGCTGGAATGTAACTGCACCCTGCTTACTCATTCAGCTGGCAGAGCAAGGCTGATCCTTTCGATATCCAGTAGTCACTTGGTCTTTTGGAGGGTAATAAGACTGTTACCACAAAATTGGTAGAATGACCTAGTTAAAAAAGCAAAGAGAAAAACTTACCATTTACCTAAGCAATGCAAATCAGTATGTCAACGCAACATTATGGTGGAGAATTTAACCTCCACAACCAAGATTGCTACAACATCCCGTGCCTATTGCATTACAATACATCTCTCATCACATCTCGGTGGGCAGCATCACTGTCAGCGTCAAATACTATCAGATAAAGCATTACATAATTTCACAAGCAAACAGATTACTTTCAAAATTGCTAAATGACATCAGGGTACTTACCTATAACAACATTTACAAAACCTAAGCTCTTAAAAACAAATAAATGAATAGTCAAGGACATCAGAAATCTTACTCTATCCACGTAATAAGCAAGTACACTGGGCCAGATTCTGATATCCTTACGCTGAGTAGCACCTACTCCACAAGTGATCCCATTGATTTCAGGTAAGGTGCTATTCAATGTAAGCATATCAGAATCTGTCCCATTTGTTTTCTCAAATATAAAGACAACAACAACAACCTCAACATGGTCCGATGGATTGCTGGGGTTTTAAGTATTATTTTTGTTATCTTAATTGCAATATCAACATACATTTGGAGGAATTTACTCCATTAATTTTATCAGGACTTCAGTAGTCTCTATTCAAAATGCGACCGTTCTGCCTTTCACAAATAGATATGGTTATGTATTTATAGAAATTGCTATATTTGCTATTGCGAATACCTAGGGATTTTTTTGAAAATACTAAGACAATTTTATTTAGGTAGCTAAGGAAACTCTCAATTTTTAAGAGTGACCATTGTAAAGTAAAATACTAAGTAGTGGAAGTTCATAAAATGAAGAAACCTTCTCATATTAGGTTTCAGAGTAGCAGCCGTGTTAGTCTGCATTCGCAAAAAGAAAATTAGGCTAGCTCAGAAAATTAGGCTAGCTAGTATGTATACATAGCTACCAGAAGCACTCTGATCAAGTCCAGGACTAGTCCTGATTTCTTGATATGGGAAAGAGACAGTTCAAAATATAGAGTCAAAGTAAAAAAAGGCAATAAAAAGTTTTGCTTGAAGCCCAAATAATCTCTCTCTTCCATTCTGAGACATATCCTTCTTGGTGACATCTAGTGAGTCTGTAGAAGGACCTTTTCAGTCTTGTGGAACATTCAGTGTCTAGACCTAAGAGGAGATGTCTGGTTTTGATTAAATCTGACCATGAATCTGGGTTAAGAGGTCTGGAAACAGAGGTTCCAATGACCTCCTCAGGAAAGCCCCATAAGCAGCAAGCCCAGTCAGGAGCTACTAGAAAAAAATGGGCTCTCTCCTGTTTACCTTGCTGATTACATAAGGAACAAGAGGGAGAGCAGGAAACATACAAAA